AGGGTCATATAAAAATATGCTGCAATGAAGGAGCAGAGGTTGGAACATTTATCATAGTCCAAAAAGACGACACGATTATCAGAACCTACCATAATCTAGTACTGGTTTGATTTAAATATCAGACTCCCTGGAAAACTCCCTCACGGACCCACACTGGAACCCACAAAGATATCTGATGCCAGCTCTGACAGGTGTGAGCCTAAAAATCATCACAAAATCTGCATGAATCCTTATTGAACTCCTGATCTATCCGAAAGGGAACATCTGAAAACAGATGGCTAAAATAAACATCTATCGGAGTGCCAATCGGAAAAGAAACAGAGAGGAGAAGCGAGCGAAAGACGGATGAAGGTGCGCTGAGAACGAGAGCGGGAAGAGGGAAGGGAAGAGAATGGAGGACTCAAGGCCTAACAGATTATTTCTGTTCCAGCCCTGAGGTCATTAATAATCAATCTTCTCTAGTTCATGTTTTATTCAGAGTGACCCGTAAAATGCAAGACTCTCCCCTATTTATACAGCTGGCTTTGTGCTGCCAGATCACAGCCAGATGACTTTGGCCAAGGGCGGTCGAGCACTTCGTTTCTCTCCTCCAAGATTGTAAACTTTACATACTGATCTTAGATCAGCAGTCTCTAAAGTAAACAGCAGACTCAAACGTTATGAGAGAGGAGGTGAAACTGGCCACAGAGCATAACTGACAGTAACTTTCATCAAACAATGACTGCTCATCATAGACACAGCTGCAGTGCAGGAGAGGGGCGTCTCACAGCTGCGGACAATGTCACAGATGATTGCATCCTCTCAAGTAATTATTCATAACGAGGTATTGAAAGTAACAAAAAAGTATCATGGTATTACCACCATTGGGTTTAGCTACATTTATGTTATGTATACATACATATATAAACATAAATGTACGTGTATGTGTGTGTGTGCATGGCTAAACATATATTTTAAAAAATCTATATTAAAAAAAGTACCATGTTACTAAATGGCATGGTAACAAAATATATATATATATATATATAAAAAAATAATATTTTTTTTTATATGCACCATGGCATCCAAAGGTATCTGTACCACCACAGTACTCTTTTGTAACGGCATATTTATAACTCACAACCAAATAACCCTAAAGCTAAATTCTAAAGGCCTTATTAGATGTACAATGCACAATCATTTTGTTTTTGTTCCTGAAAACACCAATTCTTCATCTAAATGGGGTGCGTTTTTGGTGAGTCTATTGTCTTTGTTGGCTCTGTAGGTTGTATGACTGAGTGGTTCTTTCAGCGCCGGCTTAATCACCTTCCTGCATTCCAGCCGTTTAAACAGAGATGCAGTAACATCCTGTGAACAGCTCAAACCAAATAAAACAACATTACGCCATAAACAGGGAAAAAGAACAGGCAAGGAGGACGAGTAATAAAAGAAGCATTGACCACAACAGAGGACGTGCTGGCAGCAAGGCCTAATAGGCCGGTCTGGTGGAGTTTAAGTACTATATGAGTAGGAGTTCACAAGTGTGTGCTTTTGTGTGCATTATGATGTTCTTGTGTGTTTGCATTGTCTACGTCCTGATTAGTCTATACTGGTGATGCATTGCGGGCTTAGGTATGACTTGCGCAATTTTTGATTTTCCTTTCTGAGTAACTCCGCCAGTCGTCATTAAGAGCGAAGGGACAAGAGCTTTAGAAAAAAGCCCAAAAAAGTGCTGGGAAACAAACACAAGAAGATACTTCGAAGAATGCTCCAACTGTTTTCTCAATGAAAGTCAATGGGGTCCAAAACTACTCTAGACCCCATTGACTTTCATTGTATTGTATGGATGGAAAAAAAAAAGGACATACTTCAAAATAGCTTCTTTCGCGTTCAAGTTATAAATGTTTGGAAACAACATGAGGGTGAGTAAACGATGACAGAAATGCTGTTTTTGGGTGAGCTATCCCTTTAAGAGAAGAGAAACAAGAAGGAAACACTGTCTTTATAAGCAATAAACTGTGAGAGAGACAATAGAAATCAGGGTAAAAAAAACAAAGTCATACATTACCCAGCTCAGTGCCAGCTTGGAGTGCCAGGCCAGTAAAAAGTAAGCCCATAAAAACTGTTAATTAAAAGATCAATGTTTAGCTTCAAAGAAAGGGCAAGGGCTCAAACAGTGTGCGGCCCCTTGTAAATACTAAAGCACATTCTGAATGCAAGAGGCTTGTCATTAGTAGAGGACTGGGCATAGCGGACACCAACCTCAATCCTCCATGGGCTCGATGGCGACTGTGCCACAAAAGGCCATTCAATTAGGTACTAATATCTCGGTTTATAAGAATGATGATTAGCAAAGAGCCCCCTCCCAAATCAAGACTACGGAGAGACATACGTGCCATCAAAAGACACCACAAGTAAATTCATGTGGACGTTACTAACAATAATGGACTGAACAGAACACGCTAAATAAGCCAATAATGAGCCCAGACTTTTCTCGTCAATTTGAGCCTGTCATGGCCAAACGGGCCCGTTCTGGCATCTTCCATGTTGAAGGGATCTAAATGGGTGAACTGCAGCGCGGAGAGAACACTAATGTAATGTGCTACACTCCCAATGCAAAGAAAAGAAGAGAGGTCAAAGAAGACATCAATCAAAGGGGCTTGCGAACGCCAGCAACTCGTCCAATCCACCATCTGCAAGTGATTCCACCATCAGAGAAAGACCAAAAGTGTCTTCAAGCGGATTGTGTCTTACATGCAGGACATGTAACTGAAGAATGAGCAGGATCCCATACATGTGGATACCATATGGATGCGAAATACTAAATATCTCCGAGCTATTGGATTTGGAGAGGAAAAATCCTGATATATGTGTAACCGTTTGAGAGGTAAAGCCTAACCAGTGAAACCTGAAATATTCATTATCACTGCCTTAATGTGTCCGACACGAAATTGGCATGTTGGCCAAGCCGAAACAACTCTGCCAAGTGTTGCAACCCTGCACAAACCAGCACGCTCTTGAACAATCCTACATAATTCATTTGCTCCGTGCTCACCAATTTATCTGAGGACCCAAATGAGTCAAAAACCTGGCGCGAAGGTCCAGGAGTTCTTATCGCCCCCCATGACAGAGGTGCTTTCTAAACACTGTCAATGATAGTTTGGACAAGATAAACACAGAATCGTTGACCTTAGAGAAGGTCCATGAGGAATAACAGTTTGGAGAGACCGAGCAAAAACAGAGTTCAACAGCGCTTTTCAGGATAGCCACTAGAGAAGGGCTTGAGACTGCAATTGAAAACCATTATTCTGGAAATTCTAGTCCCTTTTAAGCACATCATGGGCTAGAATTCACTTTGAAAACCAAAGATCAGACCTCATGTTTACATAGCGCAGTAGTCTTAACTGACCAGTGGCAACACTCAGTTTGAAAAGGCCAGGCAACTTTTCAGTCCGTCATTACAGTCTGGTGAAATCTGTCTCTCTCAAAGGAAAATAAATGTACAGACGTCTCTCTACTTCATATTAAACAAGTACTGGGGGGGGTCCCTTGGATAGTGCCAATTTTTGGAACAAAGTTTACTTGCAGCAAACTAAAAATCTTAAACATTATTTGTTCGCTGGCCAAAGGCTTGTCATCAGGCAGCCCACATAAAAAATGCATTTCAATAATGTCGGAGTGAGCCAAAAACCTGCCAAGCAGATAGTTCCCCGTGCAGTGAAACACATGAGCATTGTATGAGCCTTGGCACCATCACAGCAGATCACTCTCCTCTTCTCTTGAGGAATGGACCCGATTTAAAGTGAGTATAATGTATATGTAGACTTCCAGACAATTTATATTTCTGATGTTACAAAAAGCATTGGGGATGGATACAGAACCGGGACGCACTGACGCAGGGACTAAACCCAGTGTCCGTTTGCAGACAATTTACTGTTACGGTAGGTATGGCAATGGGTTCAAAGTGAAGCGCAGAAAACGGATCCACGCATGCATTTATTACAGAGAGGGGATCATTCATCATGGAGAGACTAAATCCAGCCACTACCTCCTCAAACGCTTCTCTCTTTCGCCGTCCAAATGCTGACACTCCTTTTCTTTATCGCGCCATTCCAGTTGCTGTTCTTTTTTTAAATGTCTTTCTCACCCCCCCTCCTCCGCTCTTGGCTCTCCCCCGCCTTTTAAGTGAGCCTTGGGTAGCTTTTTGGTTTTCTTTTGTTAAAGTAACAGTAAATGAAGCTAATAAAATACAATATATTGGACTATTTATTTTCTGTAGGAACACATTCCACTCTATAAAGAGGACTAATGGCATTTACACAGCGCCGGACTGATTCTTAAAGCCAATAGGAGATTTATAGACAGCGAACGTTAGCGTCAGCTAAGGGCCGTGAGGGCCAGGCCAGATGGCTCCAATAATCAATGGGTGACAAATCCAAGTACCCGAGAAGCCTTACGGTTCCTTGAGTGTGCATATACGCATAAATACACCAACTTTATTTGCTAAGTTGAGTCATGAAGAAAAGGCAAGATGTATAAAAAGTTACATTGATTTGAGGACCAAAGTATCCTCGACAAAGTCTTTATGGTAACAGTTTACAATAACGTTCAGTTTAGTACCATTAGTCAATGCAACAGGTATTATGAACTAAGAATGAACAATACTTTTATTAACATCTGTTTACATGTATCATTTTTCAATTGATCTTGGTTGATGTTAATCTTTATTTTTTTACATCTTCTAACTAATACATGTATAATAATTATACAACATATTATATCTGTATTTTTATATATATATATATATATATATATATATATATATATATATATATATATATATATATATATATATATATATATATATATATAATATTAAATAGAGCAAAATATATACAAATAGTTTTTACTTTAAATATATAAATATATTATACATATTACAAATTAAAATGAGTTAAACTAATACATACATACAATAAAAAGTGATACATTTCAGTGAAAAGAGTATCACCCTTTCTTACCTGCTCGGGGCTCATCTTCTGAAGCTCCTCCTCCCAGGCGTCCTGTTGGCTGCGGTGGTATGCGGAGGGTGGGGCCAGGTCCTGCAGGATGTGGGGGTCTCTCTCGTGGCACAGGGCCGTGAGGTGGCCGATGTACAGTTTCAGCTTACTGCGGTTTTGATTGAGGTCTATGAGTGGGGGGATAATCTGTCCAAAAACAGGAATGAGGAAATGGGTTAGAGATAAAGAGTCCTTTTAATCTCAGTTTTCCTCTACCGTTCAAGAATGAGATATCTGGACACGAGCCAGGGAGATAAAACGGCGGGTATGCAGACGCATGCTAAAATGACACACAAACAATACTTTTAGCAAGCCAGAACACTGAGTTCAAATTCAGCTTTGTCTCATATGATTGAATTCAGAATTGAAATTCTGAAAAAGAATTTATTCATCATTGAAAAAAGAAGGAGGGGAAAAAAGAACAATATTCAGTGAAAGGTTGTGGATGATTATGGATGATAGACCACAGCTGAAACACATGAATCACAGTGAGAACAGTGGTATAATAAAAATGTGTCAGGAGAAACATTCCCATTCCAGGAAAACAGACAAACAATCTCAGTTACCTGGACCGCTGCCTACAGATGCCCGGTCTTTACAAAACATCTCTATACACACAGCAGACACTCACACGGCTTTTCCATATCCATCAAAATAATACATACACTTCTGTGGGAGAAAATCCAGAAACCATATGTCTTTGTGCCATGTGTGTATCCTACTGGCTTCAACAAAGAATTCTGGTACAATGCATGATTGAGTCATCACATTTGTTTCACATCAATCTAAAAATGAGATAAATAGCAGCATGCAGTCTGTTTGGATATGAATGAGAGTTTGTTGTATGCTTTATTTTGCAAGTTGTTGCCTAGCAGTTAAAGGCCTGAACTGGAGCAGAACGCTGTAGGTTCTATAATATAATATAATATAATATAATATAATATAATATAATATAATATAATATAATATAATATAATATAATTTGGTAAAATTTCGCATGTTAAAAATTAGGGAGTACTAACTTGAAACTGTCTGCTGATGAAAAGTCATAAAAATACACATATAATATACTTAAAATATACATTTTTGGAACATAATTTTTTAGAATATACTCTAAAAAAGTATATTTATATTATGCAAATATAATATAATATATATATATTATGAAATTATTAACAATCAACAAAAAAAAGCATTTAGTATATAGTAAACATTTATATTAACAAAGATTAATGCTGAATGAATGATTAAATGCTGTTCTTTGTCATACACACACACACACACACATATTATAAATATATATAAAATAGTATGCCCATATTGATGTAATATTGAGCCCCATATTTTTTTTAAATAATAAAATAAAAAAGATACTATGATTTAATGACATTATATGAAATAAAAATGCTAATACAATCTTTTATATTGTATTGTTAGAGAATATTTTCTGCCACAAGCATCATATACACAAAATGATAAAAACCAAGGCTGGCTTTTTCCTTTCACATTCTCTTATATGAATCAAGATGTTACATAAGCTGGATTTGGGCTGCAATGGCGGATCCATAAATTCTGGGATGGGAGAGGTGAGCAATGCTTTTGAAATACTACAGTACAACAGAAGACAGCAGAAGATCTATTGAAATGTTCCCTTATAAATACCTTCTCAAAGAGGGCCGAGAACATAGTAGGGCTTAGGGAGCTCTGCGAACGGTCCTCATCACTCAATAGCAGAAAGCAAATACAGTTACCTGATTGTCGAGAAGCGGGGAGAGGAAACAGAGGCTAAAAAGAAAGAGTGAGTGATGAGAGAGATGTAAGAAAAGACAGGGACAGAGTCTGCTTTGGTCTGAAGCGGCCCGAGCTTGCAGGAACATTTGTGTCCCCACACTTTATTAATTCTTATTAACCCCATCTGTATCTTTCCAGGGCAGAATGTTATTCTTTTTTCGTTGGCTTGCCGTGGGCCATGAAGGCTCTCTAGGGTGGACCCTGGCTGCGGAGTGCGATCAAACAAAACTGTGAAAGAATGAGATGGAAGAAGGTGGAGGAAGACCAAGGTTGAAGAGCTTACAAGAGAGAAAGAAAGGCTAAAGTGGGCCGCCGGTTCTCTGGAGCCAATTAGACCACGCAAACTGGGTTTTCTGCATAGAACTGGAGCAGCAGACCAACATCATGCTCTCGTTAGTCTACGGTCTAGCGCGGCCTGGCCTCCAAAACCTACTAAAGCACATTTGGGTGCCAAAACTTAAACCCCTGCCTCATGGTGAATGAATAATAAGGCAGGAATTCATCTGTTGAATTCATCTGTTGAATCAGCTGTGACAAAAAAGTCTACATTTATCTACGTGACACACGGCAAACCAATGGCAGAGCCTGTCGTATCAAAGCCGGATCGGAAACAGCTGTATACGTCCTTCCGTATCTCCGTCAGATCTTGTATCTCAGCCAAGTGGAGGATATATGGGGCCTCCAGATTGACTGGCAACCACAGAAAGAGGGACGAGGCCTTAAAAAGGCGGTCTGATAGAAGCCCTCCAAACCACTGTGACAGAACAGCCGGGTGGATATGCTCAGAAAAAATAAAAAGATGGTGCCACATAAACGTGTGCACGCACACACCATTACACAGAGACTTGCTACATACATGCTTGACTGAAAGCATGCTGTGCGCTAATAAGCTTTAAAAAGGCCCATCAAATGATGGGATTTGACATTTATTCCCTTCTCTTCCTACCCATCTGCTCTTAGAAAGGATGAATGGACTCTGGTTCTCATCTGTAGACAAATGCCCAAACACGAAAATCTGTCACCCTCTGGTTTTAACTACAAAGTCAACACCTCTTTGGTGACAGAATGCGATAAACAGTCCTCTCGCTTCATTACCTGGAATCAGGCTAATGGATGGCCACAGTTAGCCTAGCGCTAACATCGGACTTGTCGTAGCTAGTGATGTTTTCCGTCAACTGGGTGCTGTCATAACTGTTTGGCTTGCGCCCGTGTTGCGGTTTAGTTTTTTTTTTTAAGTCCTGTGGTAGACTGAGATCATAAATAATGCAACAATAACAGAAACAAATATCATGCCCAGGTGACAGATTTACAACAGGGGAATTTTCCACACAAAGCGCCATTTGTCTCGTCTTGCTTTGGACACACACGATGGATGGGAGTGGGTCCCTGTTTACCCATCATGCTTTGCATGACGTCTTGGAAAAATGTCTCCAAGAGAAGGTATGCCAATAAATTTTTTTTAAATCGAATTAATTACATGATACGTCAATTAATCAATGAAAAGGATTTTAATCACATACATTAATATTAGCTGGAAAACCCCCAAATTAATGTACAGGTCATTTAAAACCATTAGATTACTGAGCTTATATTGGGTTTTAGAAGTCAACATAGGCATATTGTTTATTTTATTTCCAATGGATGGGAGTGGGTCCCTGTTTACCCATCATGCTTTGCATGACGTCTTGGAAAAATGTCTCCAAGAGAAGGTATGCCAATAAATTTTTTTTAAATCGAATTAATTACATGATACGTCAATTAATCAATGAAAAGGATTTTAATCACATACATTAATATTAGCTGGAAAACCCCCAAATTAATGTACAGGTCATTTAAAACCATTAGATTACTGAGCTTATATTGGGTTTTAGAAGTCAACATAGGCATATTGTTTATTTTATTTCCATATTATTGAACAATCATTCTGCAAACCACCTCTCAGTTTTTTTTTTCCCAGACATGTAACTGCATACATTGGCTATTTTTCAACTGCTTTAAATGTGGTACATAAAATCAAATTTTATAGTTAGTAGCATTTCCAATCCTGTTTGTAAAACTTGCATGTTACGATTTGCTTTTTGAAGTTATTTTGTAATGATGGCAGACTATTTGCTACCATTAAATAAAAAAGTTAATAAAAACATTTTTATATTAAAATATACAATAAAATTAAAATATAAAAAAGTTGATCAAATATAAATATAAAAATATAAAATTCCAAAACAATTTGTGGTTCAATTTCAATTAAAAAAATAAAAAATAAATAAAAATAATAAAATAAAAATAAAAATATGCACTGTCATTTTTTCTTAGTGTTTTTAATGGTTACATTTCCATAAATTGCTTGTGATATGTTGTGTACAGTAAACTGTTGTTAAGTACGAAGAACTGTACAACTGCAAAAACAACTGTATTGTTATATATACTGTTGTTGTAATTTAAAATATCTAATGTCATAACGAATTGTTGTCAGACTTTATATTAATGTCCAATTCTCACCATTAACAAATCATCAACTATGACTTTTGCCTTAATAAACTCCTAATTTGCTGCTTATTAATAGTTAGTAAGGTAGTTGTTAAGTTTAGGTATTGGACAGGATTAGGGATGTAGAATATGGTCATGCAGAATACGTGCTTTATATATAAATAGCACAAAATATAGGACAAAAATATAAACAGAATGTGGGTATTGACCACAAAGACCCTTGTCTTTTCTCTTGCTCTTTGCCACATTGATCACCTTCTTGAACCTCACACTCCAGCTCCCGCCTAAAGACCAGCGTTCGCAAAAGGTTCACTGAGGAATCTGTCCGTCTGCTCTCTTTCATTATGTCCCCTCTAAAAGAAACTGTCTTCACCAGATGCCGTGGTGTGTTGCATACCTACTCCTACCTGGCACTGTCATAACTCGAGAACCCCTCCTCAAAAAGAGCAGGGGGAAAGAGAAGTCAGACCCCTCTACAATGACCGGCCTCCTTCACATTCTCCCTCTCTCATTTATCACCTATCAGCTCATCGGGCGCAATTCGATACCCACACTGAGAGGCAGGAGCCTGGATCAATGCTGTCAGTCAGGCGGTCCATCAGAGACGAGCCACTGGCTCCTTCCTCACAGACTCTGGAGGCCCAGCGGCACAGGAAGCCCAGCTCAGAGCAGCTCACCCGGGTGGGGGAGGATCTGCAGATCGCGGGCCTCTCTCACAGTAGCCGGGCCCTGGCGCACATCCTTTCCCGTGGCTGAGAGTTTTATTGGGCTATCCTCTTTCAGTCTTGCTGCGCTACGAGTCCATGAGTGTTAAGGGGATAAAGATAAGGAGGGACTGCAAAGCTTCAAACCTGCGAGACACTGACAAG